TAAATGATCAAAACGAAAGAAGGTTTGCGAGGCAATAACTTGAAGTTGTTGTTTTAAAAATTTCGATTTGAAACCATAGAACACTATATATTACAATTAAACAACAGTGTTTGATGGCCCACTGCATACATACCAGACCTATATACATATGTATATAAGAATGTATGTACGTACATACATACTTATTGATGTACATATGTACATACTATACATACAGACGTATGTACATATGTATGTACGTATGTAATACATATGGTGCTGGTGTAATTCATAATGCGAAATTCTTTCTAAGGGGAGCAATGTCCCCCCTGCCCAACCTGCGTACGCCCTTGTAGTCCGTTGTCCTAAAAACCCCTTATGCCAAATGTACTAAACAAAGAAAAAATAACATAAAAATGTTTATGTTAATAATTTTTAATTAATTAACATTTCTTGCCCTGTCAGTGCAAGACGAATGTATTTTATACATATGTATGTATGTACTTACATTACACATTTTGCTTTGGCTACTTCAACCGTTTGCACGCAACTACACGAACAGCTGCTTGTATGTATGTATGCGTGTGTGTGTGTGTGTGTGTGTGTGTATGTATACTTAGTTGTCCCCAACTGTTTGATATTTTGTATTGTTTGTTCTGCCTGCATTTGTAAAATGCATATTTTAAAAATCTTTAAATGCAAAGTTGTAATTTCAGTTACGTAGATTATATTACCCAAATTTGAAATCGATCGAACAAAATTTATAACACAAACTTTTCATTTGAAAAAATGAATAAATATTAAAACCCCAATAATTCAAGCTCCAACACAAATTTCGAAAAACCGAGTATGCAGTTTTGTTTGTATTATTTTATAGATTATAAAAACCAAATTTAAAGTTGATCGATTCAGAAATGCAGAATTTTCAAACAAACTTTGGAGCTACTTTTCCCCCCTTTGGAGCTCGAATTTTCCAAAATCCCTTCTTAGTGCGCATCTACACCATGATAGGATACTTGAGCCCAAATTTTCCTAGCTTTTACCGTTTGGGCTGTGGGGTGTTGATTGTGTTTCAATTTTTCCACGGAAAACCCCCCCTTTTTCATGCCCCAGGAAAAATGGTGAAAAACCAAGTATACAGTTTTTCTTGTATTCTTTTTGAGAGTATACAAACTAAGTTTGAAGTTAATTGGATGAAAATTGTAGATTTTTCATACAAACGTTGGAGCCCGTTTTCCCCCCTTTGGCGTTCGAATTTTCCAAAACCGCTTCTTAGTGCTCACCTACACCACTGAAGACAACATGTGTCCAATTTTCAGCCTCCTAGCTCTAACCGTTTGGGCTGTGCGTTGATTGCACATAGCTTTTCGTTTACCGAATTTTCCACCGGAAAATCATTATTATTCAGGCCGCAGGAAAAATATTGAAAATCCAAGTATACAGTTTTTTTGGTATTCTTTGTGAGAGTATACAAACTAAGTTTGAAGTTAATCGGATAAAAATTGTAGATTTTTCATACAAACGTTGGAGCTCGTTTTCCCCCCTTTGGAGCTCGAATTTTCCGAAACCCCTTCTTAGTGCTCACTTTCACTATAAGAGGGATCTTGTGTCCAAATTTCAGCTTCCTAGCTCTTACCGTTTGGGCTGTGCGTTGATTGCCAATCAGTCAGTCAGTCAGTCAGGACAAACTGTTTTATATATATAGATTAAGCTTTTCAATTATTGTCTTTAGCTTAAGCTGCACCAAATTTGGATTCTTGTATTCAGTTCTGTATCAGCGTGAAACAGGTGTAATACCTTAAAAATACATTGCTCCGTTTGTTTTATTGCTGCGCCACAAGGCCAGATATTGGAAAGCTTTGGCTATCCCAACGTATTATTTAAACGTAAACCGGCATCGTGCCGCTTCCGAATTCTTCAGCAACCACTGCATCTGGAAAGCGCTTCAGCAAGAATACGTTACCTTAAAAGACAACTTTTGTCCAAATTCCAGCTTCCTAGCTCTTACCGTTTGGGGTGTGCGTTGATTGCCAATCAGTCAGTCAGGACATATTGTTTTATATATACAAGTATACAGACATCATGATTTTGATTTATAAAAAAGATACTCAAAATTCGTAAACTAAATAAATGATTAAAAATATAACTTCAAATAGCATAATTGTTTCTAATTTAAATAAAAAGAAAGGGGTTTCTTTTTGCTAATAGTTTTGTTAGTTTCTTAAATTTATATGCAAATTCTTGTATATGAAGTCACTATTGAACCAATACTCGAAAAAACAATGGAAAATTTGCAAATTCGAGATCATTGTCGGTGTCATGACTCGAGCATTACCCGTACTCTAGTGACCATTTCGGTTATGCAGCTTTGATTGTAAATACGACGTTCGATTATTGCTTGGATGCAGGCAATAACTTTCGGTCAGAACCGATCATTTCTGAGTCTTTGCAGATTTAATTCGAACTGAATGTTCGCTAAGGGCTTGTTCACAACCGGTCATTGATTGTTGTATTATGTTGTTGGTAATGTATGACCAACAACCAATATGTACACATTTTCATACCCTGTACCCAAAGGGTAATCGGGGTGACAATCCAAGTCGATATAGCCATGTCCGTCTGTCTGTATGAACGGAAGGATCTCAGAAAGAACAAGATCTAGAATTATCAAACTGATTACCATTCTGATGCTCCCACTCCCCCGCCATTCGCTATGTTCCACAGCTCCCGAAATTCTCGGAATTTTAAATGCCAAGTTTCGTCAGGATAGGTCGAACATGAAGAAAGTTTTAGCCACTACAGGGTTCGTAAAATGTGCTCACTACCCGCTGCTAGCCAAAAATAATGGTGTCGCGGGTATTAGTGGGTCGCTGCTGGCAGAGCCCGTGGGTCGAGTGTGTCGCTGCCGGCAGAAGCAGAATGTCGTACGAGCCGGCCTGTAGAAGCCGAGCATGACTGCCTGGCAGGAACGAGCGCTCCAATTCTACAGGCCGGCCCGTACGACGAAGCTTGAGCCGAATTGCTTGCGTTGCGATCAAGCTGACAGGTGTTCATAGTGAAAGACGAACTTGATGTGTATTTATTTTCGTTCGTAACAATTTTTTTAAACTTTGATGTTTTAATCCCGATGGTTGATGTTCTTTGCTACTTGCCAATCACTGAATTTTTAAAGAATGTACCGAAAGGGTGAAAGGCTATACTAGTTTTGTACGAATGTATGTAACAGGCAGAAGGATACGTGGTCTGCCAACAAAGTATTAATATTCTTGATCAGGGTGACATGTCGAGCCGATATAGCCATGTCCGTTTGACCGTCTGTCTGTCTGTATGAACACAAGGATCTCAGGACGTACAAGAGCTAGAATAACCAAACTTGGTATCGACTTAGGGGAACAAGTCCTATGCAGGTCAAGTTTATTTTTTTAGCCTGTACCCAAAGGGTGAAAGGCTATACTAGTTTTGTACGAATGTATGTAACAGGGAGAAGAAGGCGTGACAGACCACACAAAGTATATATATTCTTGATCAGTGTGACAAGACGAGTCGATATAGCCATGTCCGTCTGTATGAGCGCAAGGATCTTAAAAGGTACAAGAGCTAGAATGACGAAATTTGGTATCCAGGTTTCCCTGAGCCCCAGGCAGGTCTTTTTTTTTTATTTTGATACACCCCCTACTCCCCCGCAATTCGTGTTTTTTTTTATAACTTCCGTAATTCTTGCTCGCAGCTGTTTTTGTTGTTGCTGCTTTGGTTAAACTCTGTGCTGCATACATACACGCATATAAACACGCATAGACACGATGATGTACATGTATGCTGTTAAAACTGTACATAAACATGTGTTCTGTGTATGTATTAAATACATTTTCTTTATTAATTTAATTAATTCAATTTTTTTTAATAATTTTTTTTTTTTTTTAAATTTACCTTTTTTTATGGAGAGTACAGGCTGTTTTACTGTCGGGCTTGCGTAGCTGTAGCGTTCTCTCTTGTTTTATTCTGATACACCCCTCCACACCCACGCAATTCGTGTTTTTTTTCCATAACGCCCGTAATTTTGGGAATTTCGAACTAAAATTTGGTAACTACATCCCGTTAATGATTATGTGTCCTCTGTCATATATATATACATATATATGTATTGTATGTATTGAATAATTTGTATTTAATTTAATTAATATAATTGTTTAAAATTAATTAAAAAATGTTTTTTTTTCCTGATCGACTTTAGCATTCCTTTCTTGTTATTTTTGTATGTTATACTTTCTTTGGTTTTTGTATATTCTTTGAATTTGTGAAAATATCTTTTTTTTGAAACCTTTTGTATTTATAGGAAACTATTAGCTTTATAAATAAGAAAAATCAAAATGAAGTGCACTATGTATAGACATCAATAAAATCTTATTGAAAATTCTTTAGTAGGGGTTTGACGCATCGATAAATCGATGTTCCTAACCCAAAAAACATCGAAGTTCTTCCAGCTCTATTAGAAAAATTACTACGAAAACAAGCGTAAACAGCAAGCGATTCGGCTTCAAAATCAGAAACAGACGATTTGAAGTTTACCACGCCCCCTGATTATTAACTTTTTCAGCTCGCGCAAACCTAATATACTCTTGTACATTTCATGTACAGAGTATAAAAACTAGCAATTCTGCGAAAAATGGCGAAACTGGCCATTTATTCCATCGGCACCACAAATTGAGCACAAATTCAACTAGTGGCAGCATCTTCAAATATACAATACATAAACATACATGAGCCAAAAGTTAGATTAATGTTACTTTTGACCAACCTAACCATCTCAGCTCATTTCTTTTAAATTGCACATTGAGTACTAATGCCTGTACTTTGTCATTACTTGTGGCTAGTGGCTCATAATATATGTACATACATATGTACTTAGTAGGAATTAAAGCAATTGCAAGCATGTTTTCTTGATTAAAAAAGCACAAATAATGCATTCATATTAGTAAGGTTTAGAATGTGGTTATACCACAAGCATCATTACCACAAAAAAATGTAACAAGTGATTGCAAATTTATAGGCCCAAATAGTTCATACATACTTTAGTATTGCTCAAAATTATAACGTAGACTGTGTAGACAAAAAACAATTTAAAGTTGCAGAATTGTTTCCTTTAAGATGGTAGTCTTTTTGTTACCACTTGTTCGTACATCATCCAACCATTTAATCCGCCTTACGTGGTTTACGTTTTCGTACTTGATCTGTGGTTTGCTTTTCTTTTTTCTCCACATCATCAGCTACTCCGCCATTTTGACATTCAGAAGTCTCTGTTTCAGATTTGCCGTCTTTCGTTTGTGAATTATCGTCCTCTTCTTTCCCTTTCTCGTCTTCGCTAGCATCGGTATCATCAGCGATTTCTTCAGTAGCTAGATCTTCGAGACCTTCTGCAAGATTATCGTGAGATCCCGAAAAACCTTGACGCTGATATTTCTTTGGTGGGTAGATAAAGTCCACAAGGCATACCAACAGCAAACCAAGAGCTGCACCCACAAATATTGTGGCAATGGCAAATAGCGCATACGAGCCCCAAGTGGGCAGACCATAGTCATCTTGCAGTCGTGCATTAAAGTTCTAACAGAGTTTGTATAAATAAAATATTTTTAAAAGGCCTCATTATCCTAACATACCTTCAAAGTGTGTGAAAGCTTAAAAAAATACGAGAGAACAGACATATGGATGGTGTCTGGTTTTTTCCATGCAGAGAGTGGTTCTGTACTCAACCATTGTTGATTTTTTACAAAGAAGAGTAAGGAGTCGCCATCACGAGCCCCGCGATACTGACGAAACTCACCATCTTTGACACTGTATGTTAATAATTCATATAGATGTAAAAATGTTGTATAGATGTTATTAGACCGTAATATTTATGAATACTTACTGATAAATCGTCGGGAGAGCAGTAACAAAAAAACGCCCACTGAGGGACGGTGCAGTAGTAACATCAATTTTGGCCACATGAATATTAAGGTCATTGGTTTTACGTGCAAAATGTTCCCATGTAGGAGCAAGGCTCTTACAGGCAGGGCACCATGGCGCAAAGCTATAATATGTTTAGAAATGAAATGCAAAAAGAATCGGAAATATATTTAATTATTTGACATAAAATATTGCAATTTAAATTCGTTTGCTTTGCTTCAAAGTAACCGGCAAGCAATGATTGTTATACATATATTTATGTGTAGATAGGAATAATAAATAAAAAACTCGCTGCTTTCTTCTTACTTACAATTCAATCATCCACTCGCCACTTAGCATTAAATTCCAGTTATCTTCATCCAATTCAATTAAACTCTCAGGCGTCGATGCTGTTACGATTGTAACAAATATAATTGACACAAAGATAACTTCCATCAATTTGCGTACATCAAAATGCTTGCGTCCCATTTCGTGTTTGGTATATACAGAGTTCTCTCGGATGGAAGGGACTAGTGATGAACAAAACATCGATTCCTCGATGTTTTGTAATTTTTTCAATGTATTCGATGTATTGTTTTAATGTTCCATGTTTATTTACTACCTCTTACTGAAAAAAAAAATCGATGATAAGGTAGATATAAATGCTATAAATGCATTTTTATATAATAAACCTAATTATAGCCTAATTATAGCCTGTAGCCTGTAACATGTATGTATCGCCATTTCTTAATGTAAATGTAGCTTGAACAGATCTTAGGGCATTAACTTCTATTTTCCAATGGAGAAACCAGGCTTCAATAAGTTTGAGTTCTGATTGAAGATGCTGAGAAGCTTCCCCTTTTGATGAGCTAGTTTCTATAATGGCTGTTCCATCGGCGTAAGTTGCAACAGTTGTATTATTTGAAACTGGCATGTCAGCTGTAAACAGGTTAAAATAGATAGGTCCTAAGACGCTGCCTTGCGGAACGCCTGCATTAATGAGGAACAGTTGCGACGATTCACTTTTTTGCTGTATGTAGAAGTCTCATTTAACCAAATACCACTTTAATAATAAGTATGGTACAGGTAGCAATTTTTTTTAATCTTATATAGAATACCGTTATGCCAAACTCGATCAAACGCTTGTTGAACGTCAAGAAACGCTACAGTACAATATTTTTTTCAAAGACTGTTATGAGTTCGTTTATAATTCTTTGGCATTGTTCAGGGGTAGCGTGGCCTCTTCTGAATGTTCAGGAATGATGGCAAGTTTGTCCGATGTAGGCAACATTCTCTTTAATAGTATTTTTTAAAATACTTTGGAAAATGTTGACAGTAGGCTAATAGGACGCTATGACGAGAGCTCATTTTCTTGTTTGTTTGGATTTAGGATCATTATTATCTCTGCACATTTCCATTGACTTGGGAAGTGGTCTAGTCTGGTCTAGTCTAACAGACGTATGCATTTTGCTTGGAGCTTTTTGATGGTTATTCCATCGATTTTGTCCGAGCCAGGTGCTTTCTTATTATTTATTAATTTATTTATGTCAACAAACATTGACTGTTTATTTAAAAATTATAAAAAGCATCTTATAAGCTAGAAAAGCGTAAGAAGGAGAAATATAATCGCATACGACCCGGTGGGGAATATTATTTGCCCTTCGGCTAGCTGTGCCCCGTCTCACAGCCAAGTGTGGTCAGAGGCGTTGATAGATCTACCGGTAAAAAAAGAAAAACTTAAGAGAGACGCTTAGAATTACTTAAAAGCTAATTTAAAAAAAAAGGAAAAAGTGAAAAATAAAAAAAAAAATAAAAAAAAATGGAATCGCAGACCCGTCTCACAGCCGATCCAGAGAGAGATTCCGGAGATGGCTGAAAAGAGAGGCTTTTATTATAGGAAGAGACAGTTCAGTTGAGGTCAGGTGAAAATACCCATTATAAGATGAGCATAAAACCCGAAAAGGACTGTGCGATGCATAACCAGTTGTACTATACACCTACTAAGGAAAAGGCGAAGATAATTTCTTGTCGTTCTGGAAGGAACTGAGAAATTAAGACGACCTAATAGGCAATGAGATTCAACACTACCGGCAATCAGTTTGTGGAGGACAGTCCTCCAATTAGCCAATGATGGAAGATAAGCATAATAAGCAGAAGTCTGCTCGAGTAAGGCGGCAAACGAAGGTAGGGATCCCAGATTAAACCGCGAAGAGCAAAATGAAGGAATTGTTTCTGAACAGACTGTGTTCGATCCTGATGCGTTTTGTACTGCGGGCAACAAACGCATGAGCAGTATTCTAGAATAGGCCGTACCAGTCAACTGTAAAGTAGTTTAGTGGTTAAGGATCATCAAATTCTTTGGACCAACGATTAACGAATCCAAGTCTCGTTTATGATACAAGAAATGTGAAGATTTAAGTTCAAGTTTGAATCAAACAGAACTCCAAGTAGAAATACGTTGCAAGAATTCATTGTCAATCGTATAGGTGACAAGATGAGGTCTGGTCCGATAAAAGGACATAAACTTACATTTATGAAGTGCAATTGGTTAACCAAGCAGCATCTCTGCATGCAGTTCAGATCATCCAGCAAACGAGTGTAGAAGAGAGGATTGTTATATGAAAGAATGAGCTTCACATCATCAGCATACATCAGAATGTGAGAATGTGACAGGATAGATGGAACGTCGTTTATAAAAAGAGTGAATAACAATGGGCCTAGATAACTAACTTGAGGTACACCCGAAGTAATACGAACAGGTTGAGAGCTATCCGATCTGAGTAGTACTCTCTAGGTCCTATTTTTAAGATAAGACGAAATCTAAAGAAAACAAGTAAAAAAGCTAAAGTCGGGTGTCCCGACTTTAAAATACTCTGTACATATGTTTACAATAATTATAGAAAATAAAAAAATTAAGAAAATTAAAAAAACAAAATTTGATCGATTTTACCTCTCTCGGTATTCGAACTCACGTAAAGGGTTTATAATTGCACATTTACATAGCAATTGCGTCTGTGTGAGTGTACGTCTGCCTATGCGCATCTATTCGTGTCTGTGTAAGCATTTTCGCAGTCAATCAAACAGCAACATCAACAACAGCCGCGGGCAGCGCTTGAGCAGCGCTGCAGCAGCAAATATATTTATGGCTATAACTTCTTGTTAAATCGGTCTACCATAGTGAAACTTGGTATACGGACGTATAATAACCAACTGGGGGTATTTCCAAAATTTTAGTTCGACATTCCAAGAATTACGGGAGTTACGATTTGCGGGGTAGAGGGGGGAGGGAGGGAAATTCCAAAATATACATTTTCTGCGTATTCACATAAGGCATCTGGGACTAAAATTTGGTGGTCCTAGGTCTTATAGTCTCCGAGATATAGGCGATTATACGAATGGAAAATCGGGAAAACCCCCATAGGGGGAAAGTGGGGGGGAAAATCAAAAAAATAAAACAAACTCGTATAGAATACACACATAACGCATCTTTGTGCAAAATTTGGTGTCTCTATCTCTTATAGTCTCTGAGATCCAGGTGTTCATACGGACGGACAGACGGACAGACTGACAGACGGACAGACGGACAGACAGACAGACAGGGCTAGATCGACTCGTCTCGTCATGCTGATCAAGAATATATATACTTTGTGGGGTCTGCCACGCCTCCTTCTGCCTGTTACATTTTTCAGCTCCCGCAAACATAATATACTTCTGTACATTTCATGTACAGAGTATAAAAATTGGAAGGAAACCCAATACGATTAAGCTTCAACAGGAGTAGGCCGTGATTCACTGAATCAAATGCCTTACTGAAGTCAGTATAAATAACATCAGTTTGCATTTTAGCTAGGATTGCATCATTTATCAATGATGTAAATTGGATGTTGTTGAACGATATTTGATAAAACCATGCTGAGTAGGGGAGATAACCGACTTAGACAGATGCTGCAAAGTGGAAGTAATTATTTTTTCGAATAATTTAGGAATGGCGGACAACTTAGCGATACCTCGATAGTTTGAAATGTATAACCTACATCCTTTTTGTGGAGCGGAATAATGAAGGAGTTTTTAAAAATAGTTGGAAAAACTACAGTGTCAAGCGACAAATTGAAAAGCTTCAGCAATGGTTGGCATAGGGAGGTAGAACACTCATTGAGCACACAACTGGGAATGTTGTCTGGCCCAGGAGAATATGAAGATTTGACTGCCTTAATACCTGACAGAATTCAGGAACAGCTAATTATGGGTGAAAAAATATAATTAGAATAAGGAATCCAATAAGGGTATGAATCACCATTGAAACTAAAAGATGAATAAGTTGACTGAAAAAACTTAGCGAATAAGTCAACAATAGCCGAATCATTACTTGCATTTTCATTATGAAGAAAAAAAGAAGAAGGCAAAGCTGACTATTTACGTTTGAAATTCACAAAATTGTAAAACTGATTAGGGTCTTGAACGAATTGAGCTTTACAGCGCTCAAGATACTCAGTGTAATACTGAGAATTGAGAAGAAGAAAGTTCGATTTGGCTATAGAGTATTTTGAAAAGTCCGAAAGGGAACGCAGACATCGAAAAGGGAGAGAATGGTCTCATAGAAAAAAGTAGATGCGATTTCAATGCCAACGGATTTGTATAGAAATGACCAATCAGTTTCTGATATTAATCTGTTGAGCTTATTAAAATCGCCTTTCCGAAAACAACGGCGTGAACTTTTATGAGTCAATGAGGGAGAGGCTTTAGTTTCGTAAAGAGAAATCGAGATTTCAATAATAGGGTGATACGGATCTTCGGGAATAGAATGAGGTGAAGATCTAGAAAGTAGAGCATCTGTGGCCTCGTTTACAAAAATGAGGTCAAGCAGTCTATATATGTTATTAAAAATTGAATTAATTTGAACCAAAGACAATTCAAAGAGAGAATCAAGAAAGACATGATGTGATGAGGGAACAAGGTGATTAGAGACTTTAAAAAAAGCTCATGAAATATTTGGCAGATTAAACTCACCGTAAAGAATAAAAGTGATAAATACCGCATGTGAAGGTAGAATTACTTTAACAGCAATAAATTCTACTATACTTCAGCAGTCATATTTATATAAATAAGTTCTGGTCGAAATGTAGATTTGACAGCGATCAGTACACCACCACCACGACGATTTGGGCGATCGCGCCTATAAATGGTAAAGATAAAGTCAGAAACAGAGTCATTGAACCATGTTTCCGAAAATGAAATAATGTCAGATTCGAATGCTATTCTGTCTTTAAATAAGTTTTTAAGCTTAGATAAAAGACCTCTAACATTTTGGAAATGTAGAATAAGCGGAACGTGAACATGGTCTCGTTTTTTGAGGCATTACTAGTGGTAGGTTGAGAATAGGGGGTAACAGGCAATGAAACAGGAGCTGGTTGCTTTCTTTTTCTTGGTCTGAACTCATGAACAGTCATATGAGGAGGCCAAAATGTAGGCTCACAAATGATTGGAAACAATTCAACGCTAATTTTGAACGACGCTAT